TTTCTGAACCCCTCATTTCTGTGGGCAAATGGCTGATTGCCACTTCTTCTGTTTGGCTATTTGCTGTGAGAGCAGGTTGTGTGTGAGCTAGCCTAATTGCTACAATTAGCAAAATTAAATGGCTCATTGTGTTTTTATACGATTCTACCCACATTCTGCAGAGTTTTACTTTTGAATGAGTAATTACGTTGTTGAAGGTTGACACAGGTCCGTACTGAGACTTCCCACATGCCCATTTTCAGATGGCATCTGGACAAGACCCCTGTCCATAGAGAGTCTGCTGTGGACAGTGCAGTTGGCCTGAGTAGAGGAGATGCAACCTGACTGTATCCTTTCACAGCCTGATATAGGTAAGGGGCAGAGATTTGATATAGGTGGGGGCATAATGAGCGTTGGTCCTTAGCCATTTTGAAATGGTCCAGCTTTAGATGAGGGGAAGGTGTGTTATGAGCCACAAGCTGGCTAAAGCAATCATTTTGATTGTTTTCTAAGTGACATTGGATTGCTGAAGATAAATGAACATGAGTTGGTCTGCATCCATCACTGAAATTATAGAAACAACCACTTCAGTGCTGCTGTGTTTCATCATGCTTGTCAACCATGCTCTGAGCTCTATTTCTGAAAGGCAGTCTGAGCTATCTTTTAAGATGCTCTAAGGAACTCTCTTCAGAAACACAAAAATGCAGGCATCTATCTCATCCAAGCTTTATGTAGAAACAGCAATGGCTAATGATAAAGATGTGTGAGAATGCAAGGGAGCACTTATTTAGTCTGGAAAATGGTTCATTAGAAAAAAGTATCTCTGGATTCTTGCCTAATTTGTGTCAGAACTTCTTTCCATTCAATGGCATTTGGTACTTTTAAAGGCAAATGGGTAACCTTACACAGCCCTGGTAAGGGCAGGAGAGGTTTACTTTGCTCAATTCAATCAGTTCAGAGAAAGAACTTTGAAATGATTCAAAAGTATTCTTTTCAGCTGCTTAAGAGATCAAATCCTTAAGAAGTGATAAAGCTCATTCAAGCTAAAAGTGCTAGGTTGTACGTAGGTATTTCCAACTGAAGTTCACAGGTGTGTTGCTGTCTTATAGACAGATACTGCATGCTTGGGCTAATGTTGAAAAATGAAGAAGAAAAAGTTTTTTTATCTAAAAGTTCATGTATCAGTACATACCAATTTATATGCATAAAAAGGGAGTGTATAGTTTACCCTTTTCAACTGTTTATTATGTGTGTGTATAATATATAACATATACACATATATGATTATTGTTTAAAGACCATCATTGAGATTTCAGTTTTTCCCATTCACTTTTAATTGCTCCGTGCTATCACTTCATTTATTCATAAATCAAAATAAATTGGGCATTTAGAAATTAAGCATAAACATTCACTATACTTTTACCTTCAGGTTACCTTTATATTTTCTATTTTGCTAATACTTGAACTGCACGTTCTTTCTACATCAGTAAAAATTTATATTTGTTGAGTTCATAGCATTATTATAAATGAATAGTAACTGAGTGTCTGCAAAGTCAACATTACTAAACTAGACAATACATAGTTAAGTGGGACAATGTAAATGTGTAAAGAGAATTTAAAGGACAAAGTCACTGTGGGGACCAAACTTTGACTTACATAAAAATTGTTTTTTCCTCTCACACAAATACTTGAAGTCTGTGTGGTTAAGATATATATGTGCTTTAAACTTAAATATGGTTTCATTTAGAAATGCTAATTTGAAAATGAAAGAAATTTATATTATCTTTTAGAAAATTTCATGGTCCTATGCAAAAAGTGAGTTATCAGAGCAGACCCTTCCTCTTAAAGAAATCAGTAAATTCATGCACAGGAAGCTGGAGCTCACAGCATTTCCAGTTTTTATGCAAACCATGGCTTCTTTCTTTTGGATTCCCCAGTTCCTCTCTGTGGAGGGTTTAATGGCAGATTGAAAATGAAATCTTAAGAAGAACTAAAATATAAATACAGTTATCAAACTTTGTTCCTTTGTACATTGACAATGTCTCTTTAAATCCTAATACTTTAAACTCTCTGTTATCTGTGTATCTAGAAACTAATGAGTTGTCATCACCGCACAGCCTGATGGCCGTACTTTCTAAGTCATAGAAGTAAGAGTTAAACATGGTTAACCTTGGAAGTAAGTTTTGTTGTTGTTCTTATAATCTTGAGAAAACTTGTAATTTATTACATGTAGAAGATGTCATTTCCTTAACAAAAATTTTTGACTAAAACATAATTTTCAAGTATGTTGGATAACAGAGTATTTACAGTATTTGGGAAATCATTGAAAAATTCTAACTTCTGACACCCTCCTGACTGCATTCTCACCTCCAAGACAAAGCACAGCACATTATTATTATTTTTTTAAAATTTACACAGCACTTCTTTTGACTCTTAACATGTTCAATGAGGGATGAAGTTGAGAAATAATTTAGGACTTACATGATTGAAGAGGGATGGGGCCTGTGGCATTTGTGTTGATTGATATTGTAATGCTCTTATTTGTTTTTTGCTCATGAAATCAAAGGTATAGTTCAACTGAGCAATTCAATTTCCAAAGACCATCAATTAAAAGTTGTCTTAGAAATAATAAAGCCAGCAACTCATGGTTCTGTACAAAAGAGAAGAGTTTGTCAATATAATAATATTTCCTTCTATCATGGGGGTAGAATGTTTTCACCAATTGCTGGCAAGAGGAGTATCTTCCTGGGTCTTTATTAGTGACTAGGTAATCTTTTCATATCCGAACAAAAGATTATAGCTTTTTAGTGAAAATCTTGCTTGGAGGATCAAATCATGGTGTAATAGGAAAGTATATTTACTGATAAAAATCGTCTATTTTTTAAACATCGCTTTGGGGCTTTGCACCAAAAGAAGTCCTACGTCGAGTGCTCTGTCATTTCTGTGGATGTCATCATGGGGACAGCAGTCTCTGTATGACACACCCATTAGAGGTGGTGGCTATAGAACTTGACTATTTTAAGTTAATTGGACAGTCCCAGCAACTGGATAATTAAGTTAAGCTGATTCTTTTTATTTTTAGAGACTTGAGTAATATATAAGATGTCAGTTGGGTTAATATAAAACCAGGGAAGAAAATTTAAGACATCTTCCACTGTGGTCAGGTTTGTCATAATGGATAGATGAAAGTACTCATTTACATCTTTGACTTCCTGGGAAACAATGGCCAGTCTTGACAAGCCCTTTCTAGTTAAGCTGATTCTCTCATCACCTGATATTCTGATAGCACCCCTGGCCAGGTTCCTGGGGGCACCGACATGGCAAAGTAGGGTGATCTTGCAAGCGACAAGTGTTCTCAATCTGCTGAGGCAGGCTGATGGAATTTGTGGACCAGTTTCTGACATCCCAAGTAATTATGATGCTTAAAGTATTTTAAATGATTCCAGATCTATAAAAAAAGTGATGATGTCTATATGTATACCCTATATTTTTTATTACAAAAATATTGAAATAATCCATGAGTTATTCCACTCTGCACCAACTATAAAAAAATACTATCAAAGTTTGACCGGCACTTTTAATGCAACAAAAAGCACCATGACCGAGGACACTGGAAACAGAAAGCAGGGAACGTTTACTTGCTGTGCGGAGGTATTTAAAACCAGAAGCTTGTTGTAAGAGTACAACTTTACAAATGATTCAAATACAAATCTTAGCTGGATCTAGTGATAAGCCCTCAATCAGTCCAGAAGGGTTTTCTCATAGAATATTCACTGCATTTGTCTGCTCATACTTACTAAAAAGTGTCCCAAAGCCTCTAAAAGACATATCACTTTGACCTTGAATTGGTGGTGGTGGGGGAGTCTGTACACAGTGGAGAACTTGACTGTTCATTCCAGCTTCTGCTTTTGTGGGGCTCATGCCACTCATTCTCAGTTATCCATGTCAGTCCCATGGTTGGATGGTGTTTGGCACTAGAAAGATGAGGCATGGAGTGTTCTGGAATTGAGCCTGCCAGTGATCACACAGAGCCACGCATTCTGCGACCTGAAACATTCAGTTACAGCCTGGTCCTCTCTCGCTGATCTGCTCATATGTTCCCATGTGAGCTGCACTGGCCGAGAAATCAGATGCTCATTTTGCTTTTTCCCCCACTTTCCTCTTCCTGTATTTATTAAATTTTTTTGCAGTTGAATACTGAATCATGATTACCATTTAATTTACATCTTTAAGTTATCGAACTCATTGGTCTTGCCAAAAGCCATATATGTGCTGCATAGGATTTCTGTCATAAAAGATATTCTCAACTGAAAATTTAAAATAAAAAAACCAGTCCTGAAATGTGTTGAAAATGAACCATTCCATCAATTCTAATACACATGTAAACACACTTGAGTTTGCTGTCCACTGGACAGGCTTTTCACACATGGTATTGGTTTCCAAATGAGAATGGTTTATGAATTCTTATCTAAGCAGTACTACTTTTTTTTTTTTCCTGGAGTCTTGAGGGATATATTCTCTCTCTTTGTATATTCCTGTAGGAATCAGAGCTTTGCATCAAGAAAAATCACCTAAGCTATTTTGACGGAGGATTGGTGTGTGTGTTTGTGTGTGTGTTAGTATATGTGTGTGTGCATGTGTGTATGACTAAATATATTTTTATGCAAACATCAGTTAATTTCATCAAAACACCCTATTGATCAGAGGCAATATTTTCCATAATCATAGTACCCTCTGGTGGATTCGCTGAAAGACAGTGCAGGAGAAGTTGGTAGCAACAAGGAGTCCTACTAAGCTGGCATGTTCCCTCCTGGTGGAGCAGGAAAACTGTAGGGCTGCTGTTTTGAAAGAAGACCAGCAGAGGGCAGTCTGCTGGTGGAGGGTCAGACAGTAATCACTCGGACCATCAGCCTACAAGTGTGACAGCTCATCTCCCTACGCTAGAATGGAGTTTCATCATCGCCACAGCCCTGTCATCGCCCCTTTATCTTGTGGCTGTGGCTCCTCCAAGTCTCTTTGTTTTATAAAGTGGTTTCATACTCCAACCGCTCCTGAATAAGAGCATCATCTTTGTACTGCAGCCTTGGAGGAGATGGGGAACATTCAAAGGCTAAAATGGCCTTTCGGAGGCTTCGGTCCAAAACATGTCTCTCCCATGCTGGGTACCTATTCCTGAACAGGTCAATTTTAATGACAGATTCTTCAATCCGTGGTGGGCGAGATGATGGGGTGGATGGGGCTGTGGGTCTCACCTGAAAGACAGGTACACACCCATCCCGCTCTGCAAATTTCTGGTCGCGGTCACTGGCAACACTGCGGTTGTTGGAGATGGACCGCAGAGTACTTGTGGCCACTTCTGGAGGCAGAGTGAAGGCAGCGGCTGGGTCCTCACAAGCACAACTTGGTGACTGCCCGAATCTGGGTCCATTCGGATGAAAGAAGGCATAATACATCAGCATAAAAACAACGCCAGTTAAAAAGCTGCTGAACACCACACACAGCGCTGGGATGGCAAATGCATCTGCAATCTGAGGAGCCTTGTAGAGGTACCAGAGGGCACTCAAGGCTGTATTTTCCAAAAGGATCACAAAATAGTAAATGAAGAGCCTGCAGCGTGTCCTGCCTTCCTTGACGTTGAACCAGCTGAAGATGTAAATGATCCCCACCACCATATCGAACACGATCTCTTCCCATTTGGTGATACAGAATTCTGTCTCACAGTGGACGATCCAGAAGGTCATGATGCACCAGTGAAGGACGATGAAGATCCCAAAGTACAGCTGGAAAACCGAGGCAAAAAGGGCAAAGGTGATGACCCTGGCAGCAATAGTGAAGAAGTGCCAGCAGAACTGGATGACAACAGCCATGTAGCTGATGGGCTTCTTGTCATCTCGAGAGTCCCGGAGGGCCTTCTGGTATGAGGCCAAGGCCCAAGCCAAAGACACAAGGGAAGCTGCTGCTGTGAAACCTACAAAGGCAAACAGGAAGACATTCTGTCAAAAGTGAGATGCAGTGTTGTTTTCAGGAAATAAATCATGTGGGCTGGGGGCCTGAGACAGGCTAGCTTTGATCTCAGCAAAGCTTATAATTTCTTTGGGTTTTAGCTGGGCTAAACACTCAGATGGAGCTTCTAGTGTCTGTCCTCTGTGGGGCCCAACCATATGGAGCTAATGGAAATGCTATTCAACACCATTATGGGGAGTAGGATCTAGAAATGGGGTGAGGTTTATCTTTCCAGGTATTTGGTGTAAATAGACTCAGGAGGTAGTTTTGTGTAGTGGAAATATACCTGTGGATTGGAGGTTCCACATATTACCTGCATGACTTTGGACAATTGTTAAACTTGTGTTCTCGTTTATAAAGTAGGTGATCTCCAAGGCTCCCTGCCAGGTCTAAGAGTCCGTGATCAAAAGGCATGAACAATCCCAGGAAACTTGAGGGGTTAGCTGGTTTACCTTTCTGCTCCTAAACAAGAAAGTTGACTGCTTCTTAAAAATAAGAAAAGGAGTCCATAACCTCCTTTGTAATGTTTCTTGTGATGTTTGGTGTGCAGTCTGTCCTAATATAATGACACTCTTCCTACAGCTTTTGTGTATTCCTTACTGCCTTTCCCTTAGAAGAAGAAATGTTTGCTCACTCTCATCTTATTTTTTTATAAATTAAAGATTGTACAGAAATCACTTCTCAACCACTTATTATTTGATGAGCCCATTTAGTTAGTATTCCTCCTTAAAGTATGTTTCCAAAATTTAAAAATCATTTGTATTGCTTCCTTCCACTCTTGCTCCTTTTACCTCATCTAAAACATTGTCTCTATGGTCCAGATATCCACAAGGCTCACTAAAAACACACTGGCCTCTTTCAGGAGAAAGCTTCTTTGGGGCATTCCACTTTGTCACTTAACTGTTATATCAGTTTGCATTTTCAGCATTTGCTTAATGAGTTACACCAAGACTTACCGGTACTACAAATGGTTTTGTATGTTCTAAAGTACTGCTGGCTTTTCTTCACCAGACCCTGTTATTGATCATAGCCAGGCCACCTTATAGTCTTTCTCCCCTTACGGAAATAATAGAAGGGGGATTACCAAGAACTTACAATAGGATTTGTACTTTCCTTTTTATATTTTGATAGAGAAACCTGTTGTACATGGTCCTTGAAAAATGAATTTAAAAAATGACTCTTATTGGAAGGAGCTGCAGTGATAGAAAAAACATTCAACCTCAATAATCATTTCTTACACATTATCCTTGAGTAAGATGAACTCCAAATAATAATTGTTGATAAAGAAAATATTTTCCAGCATCCACTTCTCATACCTATTCCTAATAAAACCAGTAGAATGCCTACACCTTACACTGGACCTTCAGTTTTTTGTTTCTGGCTCGCACAAAAAATCTTTTATTACCATAACTCCCAGGAAGTTGCCAATATTTTTAAGTCAGTTAGAGACCAATACACAAAGGAGTTTCTGTTAATGTAATTTCTATGCAGTGGAAACACCTACATCAGTTATAAAGCAAATTCATGAATGAAAAGAGAAGGAAGGGGGAAAGAAGAAGAAAGAAGGTGAGAGGATGGGAAATAAAGAGTGATGGAATAATGAATGTGTGAGTGATACACTTATTACCAGTCTAGGATATAAGAACAAAAATTGTGCCATTGTAATTTCAACACCTTCGTGTTGCATTGAAGCTGCCTATGACCTTGCTCCTTATCAATACCATTACCTATGGTATGGATTGCTTCTTGAATAGATTGTTTCTCCTTGTATGTTTTAACTGTGCATGGATTGCTGCTTCTCATTGGTACAACCCGAGTTTTTACCACAAGCCTTTAGGGTGGCACTTAAGCACGGCACTGCCTTCAGGAAGATGAGGGCATTGTTGGTCAGGCTTGAGAAAAAGAGCCGCAGGACTTGATTAGGATTGTAAAATCAGGGTACCAGATTACACAGGAAAATGTTACTAAAGGATCTTTGTGAAAGAAGAGAAAAAGAGTAAAATAATTTTACGTACACAGCACCATAAAATTATCTGTTATCAGATCTAAAAGAACTGGAAATTAGTTCAAATTCCCCTGTAATTCTCATACCTCTTATTAATTCAGCCTCTATTGCACACTCAGAGAATGTGTTCAGAAACTATTCTGGCAGTAGAAAAATGAAGATTTTCTATCAGCTCTGCATTCTAAGTATCTTACAATTTAAGAAGCCTGAATCAAAGGCAAATTTCATGCCCATCGTGACCACTTCCTTTATGAATTCTCTGCTTTAGCAACAATTATAATTTCCTTTGTTCATTTAATTAGGATTTTCTTTTTCATCTCTTTAGCAATTAGTTTTTAAAAGACAAATACATACCTGCACAGAAAATATGGGGCCATTTCAGAGTTACTCCTCATTATAAAGTTATGCCTGCATGAAATGCTTAATTCTTTTCTTTTTTACACAATCATGTCAGTTCGATTGTTTCAAATGCTAAGAAAGATTCCCTCAGCAAGGTATCGCAGTATTATTGAAGTAGAATTCTCTGGAACTTCTAATGCAAAGTGATCTAGTGCTGAATGACAGAACTCTCTAACTACTCTTTTATCTAACAATGTATATTTTTAACTTTTATTTGAAAATAATTTTTATGTTGAAATCCTATCCCCTAAAGGTGATGGTATTAGTAGGTGGGGACTTTGGGAGTTTAGTAGATTATAAGGGTGCAGCCCCCATGAATGGAATTAGTGCCCTTATAAAAGAGGCTCCAACAGATTCTTAGTCCCTTCACCACATGAGGACACAGCAAGAAGGCTTGGCTGTGAACCAGGAAAATGGTCCTCACTAGAATGTGACTATGTTGGTGACTTAATCTTGGACTTGCAGCCTCCAGAAATTTCTGCTGTTCATAAGCCACTCAGTCTGTTGTATTTTGTTATAGCTCCTGACAATGGCCCTTTACCCTAAAAAACATCAATGTCTATTTCCTATGAATAGGGGTACTTTAGATACCACAGTAAATTTATCTTTAGTCAATTTAACATTGATGCAATAGGTTTTTTTTTTTTTTTTTCCTAATCCACCATCAATGTTTCAATTTCATCAATTAATCTTAACCATATATTATAGGATTTTCCCCTCTGGTAGAGAATTAAATCTAGAATCAGCTATTGTATTTAGTTGTCTTATCAATTTAGTTTTCTTTAATCTGGAGTATTTCCACAGATTTTCTTTGACTTTAATGACATTCACATATTTGAAAATAACAATACCTCAAAAAATGGTGTTCCTTGTTTGTTGTTTCCTTATGGTTAGATTCAGAGTCTGCATTCCAAGTTGGAATATGTAAGTGACACTGAACAATACTTTCCTCCCCACACCATTAAAATATGAAAATATAAAGATTCTTTCAGTAGTCCTGAGAAGTGTATAATGTGTTTGCCAGTTCTGTCTTTTAATAAAAAAATGAATAGCATATCACTCATGAAAACTTCACTCTAACATCTACAAAAACAGCTACAGAGAACTCAATGGAATTATATTATTTATCAAAATGTTTAAATAGATTATAAGACCTCAATTTAATGCCATGATCTAACTTTATAGAATAGAAACTGCGTCCTTACTGGTATATCAGTAATTATACAAATACATTCCTACATTTCCAACACATGATAAGTATGCTATTTGTGAAGTTCATTTACTCATTAATACATTTATGAGACAATGATAGAATATAATGGATAAAGATACTTTTTGATTTAGATTCAAGGAGAAGAAAGTGCAGTGGTAGGCAGAGTCCAATGCTCAGTTGTAATTTCCTTACTGAGGAGAAGAAACACTAAAATTTGCCCATCTGGTACAGGATTTATAAATAAGTGTTATAATGCATTAAGTCTTAAGTTATTGATAAACTTGTTAACAGAATGAAAATTATTTCAAGACAAATAATATTCAGAACAGATAAACTGATTTAAAACTAATGGCAAAAAATTTCCTTCTAGTATTTTGTGAAGTTATATTAAGCCAAAGTTTCTTAAAATATTTTCCATGAATTACCTCATTGAGAAGGTAAAAAAAGAAAGAAATTCTTTTGTCAAATAAGTATGTGAAATGCTATATATTTTCATCTTTGGAATTCAAAATGACTTCTCATCAATTAAGGCTTTGAGAAATCCTACAGTTAAAGGAAATAAAGACAACTAGTTGAGGAAAAAAAAGAAACTCAGCCTTACTTTGAAAGGTTAAATGAATTATCTCCCTTCCTACAGCCACCCACCTCCAAAGCTAACCCTCTTGCTTCTTGGAGAAAAGAGCTTTCCTGTCAGCTTCCTTCTCTCTCTCTGAGTATTCCAGCTCTTCCTCTCCAGTAGCTCCTGCCTGATGCCTATAAACCTTATAAGCAAGCTTTCTTTTACCCCCCAAAACACCCTTCACTTGGTTTATCTCTTCTTTTTTCAGACTTGTCTCTTTTCTGTTTCCCTCCCATTTTTTGTTTCTTGTTTCCCCATTTTCATCTGCTTATCCTTGAGATACTGGCACTGCTGGTGATGCCACCCCTGGTCCCGTTTCCATCTCAGCCTCTGTCCGAGGGATTCCCCGCAGTCCCATGGCTTGAATCCTTTCCTCCAACTCAGCAGATGCCTATCGCCACCACCAACTGTTTCTGATTATTTACCTGAGACCTCACAGGCCTACAGTCTATATGTGCTTGATGTACACATGCTTCAGTGTTTGGAATCAATCTGGTTCTAGTCGACATTTGCTTTCTTGTTGAAAGAAGACAGTTCTTCCCTTATGCTCCTTGTTGTTAGTGTAATACTTTTCTCAGAAAGGGAGGGAACATGGATTTCCAGATAGGCTGCCACAGTTCTAAGAAGATGGTTTAATGAACAGCTTAACTAAAATATCATTTTGCAAAGCCACCTGAATCCAGAGCTTCACAAAGTGTGCCATTTTGGTGCATTGCATCTGAAGAGGTC